ATACGCCGAATGATTGCGGCCATGCAATTTTCACAGGTGCATCCCGACGGTGTGTCAGCGTTGATCGGGTGTGAAATGCTCGGGCTATGAATAGTACCTGCGTCTACGTGTTTGCACTTGTAAAATAACTTTTCGATTTCGCGGGTGATTATAATGGCCTTGAGACACCTGTAAAAATTGCATAACGCGTGTTGGTACAAATCGAGAAAGAGTGACGTGCTCGGGATACTACATTCGTGAAATTTATGAAAACGGAATCCGCGACATTTTTTTAGATTAAAATGAAAGTTTTACGTAACATTTGGAATTTGTCGAATCATCGAGGTAACCCGATACGTCTAGCAAGTTTTCCCGTTCGACGTCGTCTGATGCAACATCCGTCGCTACTTATCGAGAAAATCAGCCTCCCTTAGGCCGAACTCACTAACGAAATATTCTCGGATACGATAGCCTATATATATACACAATATCGCTTCCCAAGAAGTTTAAGTTTAATTACCGGGAGATATGCGCCTCGCGCTAAGTTTGCCTCTCGAGCGCGGCACTTGTAAGTGACCGCGCGACGCATTGAGGTGCTACGAGTTACGAAATTTCGCGAGATACATTAGCTCGCTTTTCAACAACTCGATAGCTTGCGAGGGAACGTCGACGGATGTCTGTAATGCGAAATTTCGCGCACACCTCAAACCCGATAGATGAATCGAAGCGTTGATTGAACGTACAATCCGGAGAAAAATAATTTGCTGGCCCAGCAAATTTTATGCTGTCGCAGCGAAATCTGTTCGTTACTATGTAGACAGCAAAACGGTTTGTTGAGAGTGCCATTCTCTCCGGATTATTTTGCTGAATCTACAAATTATTTCGATATAAGAATATATTAATAAATGTGGAAAAACACATTCTGTTCTAACAACGAATTAACATGTCAAAATTCACTTAGCAAAATACTATTTATCCCAACAACAAAACTATTTCTGCTCTATGAATAATTTATTAATTTGGTTATGCCAACTAAATTTTATTCTTGTCGCAACGAATGTGCAGATGGTTTCGCAGCAAACTTCTTTTTCTACGCGTACGAAAATTCTGCAAAAGTTGCACTTGAGAACTTGATTTCACTCGCGCGAATATATTGCTGATACCTTAGACTCGATTAACGGTTGATAGAGTTGTGCCCCTTCGAGTATCTTCTCAAGTAAAATAAAGCGAAATTCAATATAGATATTTCCCGCGTGGACGCGATAAAAGACGATCCTAGAGTCGATTGGAATTTCTTGCGAGTTAATATCATCGAAATGGAATAAAAGAATCATCCTACCGCAAATATTTTTTACGCATTGTCCAATTCAGCCGCGAGAAGTAGACCCAATGAGGCGTAGAATCGATGAACTTAGCCGGCGAGAATTTCTCGTCGGCGGAATTCCGAGCCGTGAGAATCTTGACGGGATCGGAATAATAAGAGCCCTTCGGTATTAAATTAATTTAAGTTGGGACAAAATGGTAGATATAGCGTGGCGGGAGAAATTAACGTAACTTTGTTCCTAGCTCGTAAATAATTTATTTCGCGGTTGATATCTCGGCGGTTTAACCGCGTACGTTTTCGCGCAATCGCCGCAATAGAATATTTCCGTTCGTGAGTGAAATGATTTCTTTCTCTCGCGTTAAGAGAAAAAGAGATAGATAAATTTATTTAACTCTGGAGTTAAAAATCCCTTTAAGGGCATGAATACACAATGTATATATATATATATCGCTCAAAATTAGGCTAATAAATTAATATTCCGCGATCTAACAACAGTTTGTACAAAGAATGCTAGAAGGAAGACAGTGTGGAGGTTTCGGTAATTTCACCGAGTAAGGGGTTACTCTAGAAGTAGGGAAAGGTAGGTAGAGAGAGAGAGCTAGATAGATTGATATTTGCACTCTGGAGTGAATCCCCTTGAGCTTAGTGTACAAAAACAATAACGCAACTGTATGTCCAGTGACTTGGTTGAAATAGAAGATAAAAATAAAGCAAGAATATCACTCTTACGGTGGAGATCTGCGACTTACAATAAATGAACAAACAGAAAATCAACCGATCAGATTATTTGATACTCTGAGAGAAAGAGACCGTATCGCCACGATTCTCTGCATAAATATTCGCGTACGATTTCGAGGAGTTAATGATCGACCGTAAGAAATAAGTATCGATTGAAGACGCCGCTGAATCGTTAATGCCAATCGGAAAGTTTCGGCATAACGCGGATCGATTAGCGATAACGAGAAGGAATTTCCATCGAAATAATTCGAGGGGAGAGAAAGCGCCATAGAAAGAACGGAGCGAAGAGTGGATCGGACAGAGGCGCGCGAACGAGACGACCCTTCGGAAAGGAGGAACGGTTGGAAGTCGCAAGGTCGCGCCCCGGCTATATAACGAGTTCGAACGAGCGGAATCGGGTGACACCGGACTGGATAGACAAAGGGAGACGGAGAAAAATAAAGGGACGAGCGAGACGGCGCGATCATTCGTCCGGAATTAAATTGGCCGCGGGCGAAATGCTCGCGAGGCCGTGAAATTACCATTTTGAAGCTGCAACGCGCTCTCAAAGCCGCCTTTTTGCGCGACCTGATCGCGGTCTTCTTATTAGCGACATTTCACGCTCGCTTCCCCAAAACCTGCTCGTTCGCCGGATAATATACGCCGCGTCAGTTAGGCGCACTAAAGTCTTAGAAAGTCTCTCAAATCAATCGGAAAAATTCATCGTGGAAAATTACCATAGGAAAGTCGCTGTTATATTCAACGAGTTTTCCTCCCCCTCTATTTTAATCCTGGCCCTCCAATTTTCCCTCTTCTCTCTTTGTTCGCGCCGCGGAATAACGAAACAGGCAGCTCGTATCACCGATGAATAATATTCACATGCGACTGTGAACGCACAAAAGAGACACGGCGAATCATGTCGAGTACGCGTCGCGGATTCGAGTCAGCTAATTACTAATTAGCGCGAGATTCTCACATTTGAGGATACGAATAGCGAGGCGGACGTAGTTTTTACCAATGCTCCCGGCGTTCTGTGAAAATTCGGACAGGTTCCGGTAATCTCGGCGAATGGTCAGCATTAATTAAGCGCTTCCCTGAGAGGGGAAAAGCTTTCTCGTAGGACGAGTTACCGCGAGGTCGGGTTTAAGTTCTAAAAGGATTCACGGTGAAATGAAAAAAGAAAAGGGAAGAAAAATGTTAACGTGAACGAGGGTGGAAAAAAAGAGCGACACCGGTTATGTTATACCTCGTTGCTTATGCGCGTTTCTCGCTTGGTAGAGCGAAGTAATGCGTGTAAACGTCTTCGAGAAACCTTATAATTCTATCAACTTTTCCCGCTCAGTTCTATGCAGCGGTTAGAAAACTTCGACCTGATTAGATCATTCCGATGGCGACTCACAGAAAGTTGTAATCTTTTACGGTAACCATCAGCGGCCGGTGTAATACGCTGTAATAAAGAGATTTACTTTCCTCGTGTAATTTATCCCCACAGCACATCATAAAAGATGCTGGATTAGCAAGGGTGGTTTTACGTAGGAGCGAATGAGGATTATAATATCTAGGAAAGTAATGCGAGAGAGATTTCGGTAGTTTCGTCGTTATTACCAGAGAAGTATTCTCGACTGAATAGTTTCAAAGCTCGCGATTCTTCAAATTTATTTGTCAACTTTTACAAATAATAATAGTACATTCTTAATTAAATTATTATTATTAATGCTGCGTTATATCAACATTCTACGTGATTTTTTCATGTTTAGCGAAAAAAAGGGTAGAACGCCCAGATAAGGAGTTTTGGAATGAGTCGTTTGAAGTATGCTTTAATCCGCAAAGAGACAAAAAGACGCAAAGTGAAACGCGTGGAATAGGGAAAAAGAACGGGCCGCGTAACGGAAAGTGTTAATAGAGCGTAAAAAGGGATCGCGGAGAAAATCCGTGAGAAGAAATAGTACGTCTGCAGCGGGGTAGAAAAGTCTTTGAGTCACCGAGTATATAACAACGCGTGCCTTTTATCGCGTATACACGTGACCACGTAGTCACGTTGAATTTACTTCAAAGGTGGCTTCAAGCTCGATTACCGGGACGAAGAAATGAGAGAGGGGCTAAGGGGAGGCCGAGCCAATTTACGGTACGCGTAATTAGGGGCGTTGCAGCGTTAGGAAGGAGGAATGGATGAAAAAACCCGCCAGGCGGAAAAAATAGCGAGGATCGCTGTCACTTCGCCACCACATTCCTCTCAGCTGTTTGCAGAAAGAATTATTACGCGTCGCGGAGGTTGTACATTTTCTCGTTCGCTTAACACGGCGCTGCTGGAAGAAACGTTTTAAAAGATTTTCTCTATTTAGCTAGTTATAATCGTTGACGGTAGTTCTTTTTTCCGTCGAAATCACGAGATCGATTTATGAGTCTCGTTAAATGCTATAAATTATTTAAAACCTTTACATGTTGCATCACATCAAAACTAACGGTTTATTTATGTAAAACTCTGAGAGCATATTTGGAATAATGTTCGCACGAGATAACATTTGAAATAATTTAAACGCAATAACTGGGGATATATATCTAGTAGATATCGTCATTAAAGTTGGAGCGAGAAAGATTATCGGTAATCTCCCCTTTGAAACCTTTCAGTTTTACGCGACGATCGAAGTCATTAACTCGGGATTAAAATATAAAGCGATCATTTATCACTCCCTTTGACAGGATAAACTCGACTATTTCTCAATTGCCCTCTGATTCATTCACGCATCGTTTTCGAAACGGTCCGCAACCTTTAAGTGCGTAATCTCTCAGCGCTATGGACCGAATATCGTAACATCGAGTTATTCGACACGCCTCGCTCTCAATACTCTCACCACGAGAACGGCTCTCGCAAAGTGGGACAAGAGGTAAAAGCTGGTGGCACTGGAAGAGGGTTGGTTAGTCGGCGCCGTGTGGCTCGAAAAGGGGAATGCTGTGGAAAAGGTGGGACAAGTTTACGTACCAGCGGTGTAACGGAATAAATCGCCGATCCGACACAGGTGTAAGTTGTACGATCAGCGCGAACTTTAATCCTCCGCCAAAGCCAGCAACTTTTCGCAACACAAACGCGCGCGCGTGCGTAAATCCACACACAGCGGGTGACGCGCATTATCATCTACGTCCGCCCGACTTTCCGCGAGGGAATAACGGTGTCCCGCGTTTCCTCGGAAAATTTCGGCGCCCCCATCCAAAGTACGCGGCTTCTCGGAGTCTCGCATCGCTCTTTTGTCGGGCAAAATGCCCGATCTCACGTGGGGATGGGATCGGGCCGATGTTTGTTTGTGAGCCGGAACTCGGTCTGGCAGTTTAGATGAAACTTCAATGAGGCGATGTGCATACACACATATGCGCGCAACTTCAAATTATTTGAATAATGCATGAATAATCACTCGGATAATATCTCTTCGTAAAGTACGCGAAATATCCAGGAAACAGAAGACGCTGCGAATAGGTGTAAATTTTATCGTAATCGAATGCATTTTCCAAAGATCCATTTAACGGCGAAATTCCGAGTCGAAATTTTAGTTCTACATGAAGTTTACTCAATTCTACGTCAATGCCCGTTTCTATCCATCATGATTTAATTTTAATCGAAGCTTAACGGATGAATGGAATTGACCAATCGCATTAACTGAACTGTATGGACCGTTTGGGATATATGAAATGTATTAAATTTAACATAAAATTTTTTTACTTTGTACGCTGTATAGGAAATTGAATACAATCAATCGTTTGAGCATCTTGGCAAATATTGATTTCTGCAATTTATCTCGTAATGCTCTCTTTAAAACTAAACTTATATAATAGACTAAATTAAATTTGTCAGACTCTTATCTTGATATTCCTGTAGTTTTTATCTTGATTACTCTTAATTCACAAATCATTATTATATTTTTTCCTTTTCTTTCTGTATGCAATACAAGCGATCGCAACTAATTCTTCTGTTTTTGCTGCAAAAGAAATATTTTTTCCCGTTTACTTAATAAATAATAATCGACATAACGTATTTCCATGACGATTAAGACCGATATTAATAAATACGCGCGTATACATGTATAAATGTGCGACTTCTGTCTGATTACAGCATCGGTCGGAGATGAGGAAGGCGACCCTGTTAACCGTCGCAACGATTTTACTGTCAGTGACGGCACGCGATGCCGCGGCAGAACTTTACACCGCTTTGGCGGATATGGAAGAGCTGCTGGAAACGGAAGCCGTGCTGATTGACACACTAAACGGTTACATCACAGCGCAGGAACAGCGATTGGCGACACTGAGAAGGTAGGTGTATCGACAGGACTCGTTCCCGCGGCGGAACTGGGTCAGGACACTTTCCGGATGAGTTGTCTCAGACGACGACGACGGGATGTCGATTTTTCGCGAGCGATTCCCGTCTCCTTCTATTAATTGAAATATCATGGTCTCGTGAGGAAAAAAGAGATCGCGGCGCTTTGAGGAAGGCTTTCCTCGACGTGTCGCGATTGGTTTTTGCCGATTCCTTTTTCGATTTGTTGATTCAACGCCGTCGTAAACCGCGTATATTTTTCAGAACTCTTAGGTTTTCGATACATTTCTGTCTTACGTAACCCGTGCCAGAAGTCGTTTCCCGTTTCCACTACGGATCCGGGAGATTGCAGCTCTTTGTGCGGGCCGCTATTGATACGGACGTTGCCCTGCACTGTACGTTCGTCAATTTTTCCTCTTTTTTTTTTGTTTTTTAGTGTTTCGCCAGGCGTATATTCGTTCGGTGTACCGATATTTGATCAGCCACATGTAACGAATCATTCTACAGAAATAATTTTTAATCGTACCGCCGTTAAATTCACTTTTTTATTGACACATAGCTAGAAATAATCGAATTTGCAGCTTTTATGGTCATCGAATATCGCTATTTGACTTGACTGTATTATTTTGACAGGTTCGTGCGAAAGTTATCGATTTACGCGATACTACCGCTAATTAAACGCTCGTTGAGGAAACACCTTGCGCGATGTAGAAACGCGAATTGTAACGGCTTCGATGTCGAACATGGAAAGTGAATCATCGAGGCACTTACCGTGGCAACGATTTCCGCGTCCCGTTTCTCTCAAAAGCGCCGTTAAAGCGAAGGTGATTAAAGAAGCCGAGAAATCTTACGGGAAGCTCTTCGATAGCTCTCTTTCTCTCTCTCTCACACACGCACACACACTCTATCTCTTTTTCTTTATCTTCCCGTGGGTGCGATTTGGCATGCCGCCTGATTCGATACTTCGACCATTCCGCGGATAAGGAAAGAAATGGGGCGCGAAGAAATAAGAGAATACATTAAGATCAAATCCTGATTCTACTAAAATTGGTAACACTTGTGCCATAGAGATAATCGTAAAACTGAATCCTAAGATGGCCAACTCCATTTGCAGTTCGGTGCTTAAGAAGTAGAAAGGAGTAAAGACCGAACTTATGACCGTAATCAGGAGAACAGGCGCCATAATTTGTAGAACAAAGCACGTTGTGGCGCGAGAGATCGAGGCAATTTCGCGCAAATAATTTGTATCTTCCCGGCGAAGACTGCTAAATGAGAGGCGTTATTCCGTACGTACAAGTTTCAATTTAAACTCGTTTATATTATTTCCATCACGCATCGATCGCGGATTTCTCTCGGAAAGATCTCGAACTTTTGCACGTCCTTCCGAGATCGTCTACGAAATCGCACGCAGTTAACTCGTTCCGCAAACGCGACGCGATTAAACCCAAAAGACAGCTTAAGCATCTCTCTGTTTGTTACAACCAGGAGAGCCTGCGAGCGAATCGCGCGATCCGCTCGGGACAGTGGAAAAGTTTTCAACAACATTTATGTAGGACGCTCCCGTGCGGAATTTAACACACTGTTGTTGACTACACGCTCGCTCTCGAGAAAATCCTGTCACGGACACTCGGCGCGAGTGCGTCGGCTCTCGCAACGATTTTACTCGGTTCCGCTCTCAATTTCTATGGCCATTCAAAACTCGCCGATTGCAATCAGATCAAGCGGCGGTCATTCCGCGCACAGAATCGCACATATGCGCCGAATTTAGCTTCTCCGCGAATTTCCTGCATTAATTCCGGATTAATCGGGAACTCTCTCGGCGGAAGGGGAGATCCTTTTAACGCGCTCATAAATTGTCGGAGATATTGCTGTCGTCGTCGTGTAACACTGCTATCGAAAAAAAGCACGCACAACTCTATCACCGGCGGCGTTATCCATCGATAAGATCCTCATTGTTGCGGAAAATACTTGAAAATTGATCACGCCGAAAGCATCCCATGAGTTATTGCATACGCTTTTTTTCAAGTAACTCCATAAATTTCAATGAAAATACAGAAATAATAATAATAATTATTATTATTTTAGTAGATACTCAAGATTAATTCCAAATACACTCACTGTCTGACTTTGCAACGTTCCGCCATCTTATAATTGACTTTTCAACCCTATTTTTCATAAAATTCTCCTAATCTCGAAGCGAACATCATCGCACAATTACTTATAGAATGACCGATAATTCCTCGCGAACGTCGGACTTTGCGATCAGTAATTTCGTGATTGGTGTCGTATCTTTTAGAAATAATCAGTCATATTGATGCGCTATCGATGCGAATAAAATTTGCAGTACTACTACTTGGATTGCGGAAACTAATCGACCGTCGCAGCTGTCTATCGCAATAGTCCAATTACCAAAATTCGTAATGAAAATTATTCACGACGAATATATCACCGATTGAACAGTTTNCTGCTCTTCCCCTTTTCCCCCCCCCCCCCCCTCACTCTTTCTCTCTCTCTCTATCTTTCTGCTACATTCCGTTTCTCGTCCCGCACGTATATGTTCAAAGTTTGGCAATTGCAATCCAGTCACGTGATGGCCATTTCATACGAGTGGAATTCGAAGGCACACAAACACATACGCGCATATATAAAAGTGAACATATAATAGACACACATACGATGGAGATAACGTACATATATACGATCCCGAATTCCCGTTTATATAACGTGTACATAATATATGTTATATATATGAGAAAGACGCGTGTACACACGGTGTCGCGTCCGTTATCTGCGTGGATTCATCAAAAGTGCTTAAATATTACACACGTGGCTCAAGCGACCAGCTAAATAAGCACGAAATGTAATTTTATCAAAGAGCAAAGCGCGTACAGTTTACATTTCATAAAGATTTATTGTTTCATTTCGTGTAATTTAATAAAACTGACACGCGTCATGGCGAACGCAGCCGTAAATGAATTATATCGCTCTTTCGCAGGAATTTTGCGACGGTAGCGCGCTTCGTTCTAGCGCAGTCCTATCCTTCGAGGATAATCACGCCGATTCTATAAGTCGCTCGTACAGATATTAAACGGCCGCTTATCCCGCCGGTCGATTGAGATAGCAAGTTTTTCCAGCCGCGTTTATCCGATATCGCAAATTGGTTCCCACGATAAGCGCATAGGTTAATGCGACGTTTCGATATCGCGGATCGCTCCGCGTACGTAACACCATCGGAAAGTTTGGGATTTAAGAGAGAGACGAGCCGGATTGAGACGCATCGGAAGCGCGCCCGGTATTAATAATCGCGATTACGGTACCCGGTGACCATTCAACCCTCCGTTGGGAGCACCGGTGTAATTGGCTCCGATAAGATAACAAAGTTCTATCACAGTCGTCGTCCGCCCGGTAACTATTTGCTTCTAATTAACCGTTCGCGCGGCAATCGATTGCTTTTTATCGTCGATTCGAGGGAACAGTAGACGAACGCAAAAAGCGAACCTCCCTCTCCCATTCGATCCTCATACAGCCGATACTCGTTACCTTTAATTAATTGCTAACGGCAATCGTTGATTTTTATCGCTGTAGGCACGGCCATCGCGTCGGTACAGATATTTGTGGACGTATATTGCAAACGGAGGAGGAAGAGAGAAAGAGAGAGAGTGAGACGCTTTGTTTTTCCACGCGGCATTTTTCCCGTCAAAAAGAAAAAGCGCGTCGTTTTTACGTAAGTGAATTTTGTAAATCGTACGATGTGTGTGTGTATCGAGACGATGTATTGAAAAAATTCAAATATTCCAGCATCGTTCAGACTGCTCTTCGAATCGCAATTGGTTCGTTTCGGGGCATACGAAAGCTATTTTCTTGGTTTTTTTCGTGAAAACCGTCGACGTCGGAAACATTATGCTTGATTGATAAAAAAAGAAAAGGCGAGAATAATTAAAAGCGCCATTCTCGCGATCTATATTTAATTTTCTGGTAATTAGAGGAAACATGATTGGAATTATCGATGGAATTCCGGCAATATTTCTGCTTTTCGTGGTGCGCGCCGCCGAGGAATCGATCGCGTGGTATGCGCTGCGTGAAATTCGACCTCCCCCCCGGATGACTGCAATATTTTCCACCATAAGGCTGAATATTCGACAAGCTTAAGATTTTTCGATGAAACTTCGTTTATTTACGTTGAAACCGATCGAATTACTCGACGGTAAAGTTGCGCACCGTCGACGGCCGGGAGGAATCCATCCCTTTTGTCTCGAAGGCTGGCCATCCCGGAGATAATGAACGTAAGAATTTCGAGAGTTCTCGATTATACGCTTTATGAATCGCGACGAAGAAACGGAGATTCTACAAGTTTCGCTGGTGTTCAATTACCGTGTATAAATTACCGTGATCACCATATCCGCGACTTTTCGAAGGAAAAGGACGGCGCGAACGAATTCAACCAGTTTTTATCAGTCACGATACGAACAAGCCGCAGAAATACAAAATGTGACTTGGTTAAAACTGTACATAAGATGTTTCGAAATAAACCTACACGGGACTTTCTGTCCGTCCATCTCTACGTTTTACAGCGTTTCTTTAATTATCCGTCAGCAAACCTTCCAATTGACAAGTATTAATTGAAAAGTTCGGTGTAACGGTGATCAACTTTGCCGCTCAACTCGAGAAGATTAATCCTAAAGTTGGGATACATTTTTTCGAAACTTTGATTAATCTCCTCGAGCTCGTGTCATCCTATTCTTCAAGCTTTTTTCCAGTCTCCATTCCAATTTCTCCGTAGCCTCATACTTCTTTCTTCCTCCCCAATCACCTCGCGTCTCGTCGTCTTCGATCGCGCTGAATGCCGTCCATCAAAAGAGAAATTTTGCGCGCGCAAGCGGTTCCTCCCCTTCCTTCCTCGCGAGACCCTTTCAATTAGCGCCGATACATGGGTATTACGCGAAGTAATACCACTAACAATAGATCGGTTCGGGAGACAAGGCGCAGCATAGAATTT